GGTCTCGCCTTCGTCCCAAAAAAATGTCGTTGCTACCCCGAACGAGCTTATTTCCGATTTCGTCAAACTTTGGACAACCATAACTTTGTACTCCAAAATCCAAACGACATGAATTTTTTTTTTCATTTCTCATAACTTTTTAAGGACTACAATTTTTACTAGGAATGAATTTTCAAAATAGGAATTATTTTTGGATATACAGGATTTTGGGAATAGCTTACCTTCCCTTTTCAGCAATCCACGTACATTTCGAAACTATGTCTATGATAAAAGTTGTATTCCTTAAAAATTTATTCAAAATAAAAAAAATTCATGTCGTTTGGATTTTGGAGTACAAAGTTATGGTTATCCAAAGTTTGACGAAATCGGAAATAAACTCGTTCGGGGTAGCAAACGACATTTTTTGGGATGAAAGCGAGACCAAACCACCTTCGGCAGTCTTCGCCTTGCAAGATCTCAAAAAGTTATGCGATCGGATATCCGAACACAAAGATATGTTCGTTTGAAGTTTCCACCTAGGTTAGGATTTTTCAAAAAAAAAAAAAAAAAAAAACAGACCGCATGGTGGGTGTGCGGTCTACAAAACCGCCCCTACCAGTGCGGTTTTCACTGAAAACGCGCCCCCGGGTGGCGGTTTTCGCCTAAATCGCTGGTACGAGTGGCGGTTTTTGGGAAATGGTGCTATTTTTAGTTTTTTCGGAATTTGGTGCTATTTTTGGAAAATTTTTTAAACAGTGCTACTTCTGGAAAATTCCCGAGAGAAAGGGAGGGAAAGGCTTTCCAATCCATTATCTTCGTCCCATTTATGGGGTTTCCTATATTTTTTTTCTAGCTACTTTTTCTTTCTTTAATTAGGGAAACCATGCAACGGTTCGGTATGGACTACACCAAACTCATGAGAATAGTGGACCATTAGTGAAAGTCGTATTATAATAGTTGAATAAATTTAATCAATTTAGAATGCTTGATCAATTATTATAAAGTCTCTATTTTTAAATAATTGATGTGGTTAAATCACGGCTTTAGAATAAAATACCCAACCACTAATTTTTTTCCGGTACAATCTCTGGTGCGATTTAGAAAGAAAGTACAAATTTAATTCACAATTCATAAGTACATAGAATATTAACATACAATCAAATTATTTTACTATTACATAATTAAAATAACATATTTATCACAATTCCCAATATACACTTTCCTTCCCACTTTCCTCCATAAAACAACATTTTCCTCCTAATTTCCTTCACCTCCAAATCTCCCCTCCCCTCCTAATTTTCCTTCACCTCCCCTCCTTTTCCTCCCTTCTTTCATAAACATAATGTAACAAAAGCAATATCATTACAATAAAATCAATATCATTACCATATTAATCAATACCAATAAAGATATAATCAATAACATTACGAGAATGGTACTAGTACATGAAAAAAACTACCAGCATGAATAATCTCTAATTTTACAAGAGTCAAATCAATACCAAAACCAACCAATACCACTACTACTATGAAAATAAAACATTATCATTTCAGCAATGAATCAATACCATCCTCCAATAATATATGGTAGAGTTTTGTGTATTTTTCTCCATTTCAAATTTTCTGCAACGTGAGTGAAAGTAGGAAGGACAATTTGGTCTTTATAATTAATTATTTATTTCATATAGAAAAATATCAATAAAGGATTTGAACCCAGGTCTCTTCCCGAAAAGACAACAATTATACCCAATTACATTAAACAAATTTATTGTATCTTCTTGAATAAAAAACATACACGAAGTTAAGCTCTGAAAATTTGAGGACTTTTCCATCATGATTAGCAAGCCCACTAAGTCTACCGTATGTATTTTTCAATTTAAATATATTTTTTGTGCCTTTTTTATCTTTGTTTTTATCTCTTTCTAACTTCCTCCGAAATTCCCTACATCGTACAATAGTTTGCGCCCTTTTCACTTCACAGTACAAGGTCGTATTTGAAAAATCAATCTTCTGGTATCTATGGGCACTACGATTTTATTGTTGGGAATTTAAGCTGGGCAAGTAGAAGATTTCAACTCCAATATCAATTTATGGAGAATAGAATCAAATTCAATAAATGGAGTTGCAGAAGGAGGATTAGAAATAGAATTTTTGGTTGAAACATATGCCTCTTGAAATTGAAGATAGAGTGAATAAAAATTTGGTTGTACGAAAAAAAGTGGTGGATACTCGATCTTTAGGTTTATGGTTTTTGCAGCTATCACAACCTATTTATATCTTTAAACAAGGAACTTATAGATAAGGAGTGTCTAATTTTGTGTCTTATTACTTTGATCGAGTCTATTAGTATATTGGAGGTAACCCTAATTTTTTCGTTTGCTCTCAAGTTTTGATGGTCCACTCTTAGCTGAGTTGTTAGTATATAGTTGGCTTAAATCAACAAGACAACAACTCTCCATTTTTTTTATTAGTGGTGACATATTTTTCCTAAAAGGAGAGCATTGAACCCTTTATGTAGGATTGTGAGATTGATCCCTATGAGTCGTGTGGGAATTAGAGTGAGCTTTTATACTCTATCTTTCTTGACAATCAACTAACCAATAACATTTAAACGGGGCTTAATTATCATTATGAAAATAGAATCAATGATACATTTTCATATTTCATATTCTTAAATGATTGTGATGTTTCTCTTAATGTTTGACCTATATATTATTTCTTTATGTATCATTTCGATCGAAGGATTGTTAATAAAATTAAACAGGTAGACAGACTTAAACGTAACATAAAAATATAAATAATCAAATATGAATATTCCGGCCAAGAGGCCGGGTTATAAGCTAGTTATAAAAAAAACAAAACTATGCCATTTATGCGGAGAGCGCCTTTGAATTCAAATCTCGATTGATAAACCAAACCAAGGAAAAATTGCTCAATAAAACCCCCAAATCTAGGACAGTACGACAGAGAGGAGCGTTGACGGAGGTAAGCGGCTAGCGAGAGAGGAGTGATAGAGAGTCGTGGAAGTGAGAAAGATCTCGGCGATGGTAGGAGGGAGCAAGAGAGAGGAGCGTTGCTGAACCAGAGAGGGAGAGGAGCGTCGTGCAAGGTGTTGTTGGCGACGGAGAATGGAATTGCAGTAGGGTTTGGGTATAATATATATAAATTATTTTTTAAAGGAATCAAGTGTGTTATGTTTTTCTTTTCCAATATTATCCTTCATCTAATCTCCAGCGTTAATTTAAAAATAGCGTGAAATCTTAAGTTATATTTTGGTTGTTTTAGAGCAATCTTTTGCCAAGTAGGATTGAGTAAGATCCACGATATTTCATATCATATTTTTCTTAAATTTTTATAATAATTTGCTAAGTTTCACTAAACAAAACTAAAAAAATATTCGATGTCACTAAGATACGAACTTGCAATCTATGAGTCCAAAGTAAAATAACCAAAAACCCAAAAAGAAACAAAATCCTAAACCAAAAAGGTAATTTTAACCCGTTAATTGCAAATCCACGGTCTACCGTGGATTTGGGGTCTCTGACTGTGGAACTCCCCTGCCCAAAATCTAGTCTTTCCTTCCATTCCAGATTCCACGGTCGTTGAATTGGCTACCTAACCGTGGTTTTTAACTGATCACCATGAGATATTCAGGCTGCTCGTTGGTCTCCAGGAAGCTCCAAATCAATGATCCAACGCATTCACGATGCTTAGAAATACTTCTACTTTCATCTCCAACTCCTACCTTTCCTCGGATATCTCTCAAATAAAACGAGTAAGCCTCCAAAGTAGGTACCACGAACTGTTTCCCAGACTTAGCCAAATTTTCAGCTTCTTCTTCCTTGGCTTGGTTTCTTATTTGAACATAAATGAAAATGGTTTTGAATCACAATCAAGGATTACATAAATACATAAAAAAGAGAGATTCACTTATAAGCTAATATTCGTGTTGGCTCGCTGGCCACTTTAACGAGCATCTCATGAGCTCAAAACGAGTTAGTTAACGATTTGAACTCAACAGACCACCGAATCGAGCTGGCTCGCCAAATAAACTAGGCTAATCTCTAATTTAACTTATAACATATTAAATTTTGAATAGACTTTTTTCGAATCCAACGGGAAATCTCTCATTAGCGGTTCGACTCATTTACAAATTACAACCCTCCTATTTGGTACATGTTGTTGATTATGAAATTGGTTGTTTGGGCTAGACCGTGAGCAGTGGCGGAGCCAGAACTCAAAAGTATCTGTGTCCTCTTTCCATAATATTAATATATAATTATTTAATAAATATAATTAAAACTAATAATATTCAAATAATTCATTCTTAGATAATAAATAAATTTTAGATTAATATAATCATTATTTTCATAAGCAATCACGACGCATTTTCACATTCTCAATGTATCCAACTAAGTAATCATTAGCAAATTGGTCGCAGTTCGACTTTGAAACTTGTAACTTGTGTTTCTAATATTGCCCAAAGCTTAAAATGTTCTATCTACACTTGCAATTGCAACAAGTAGAGTCAAAACTAATTTCATAAGACAGAGAGATCGATTTTTAGGTATTGTGAATTTTGTTTATAATGTGATAAATTGATTTATTTTAGTCTTTTAAACTTGAAATAACATGTATTATAGCAATGAAACACTTTTATGTCACCTAAATATGATGAGTCCAATTCTTGATCGATACATATATATGAAGTATTTTATTTTACCTAAAAATTACCTGTGTCCCAGGACACATCCCATAGGCCCTGGCTCCGCCTATGACCGTGAGCACACTTAACGTGCCCAGAAATTGTGTTTGTTTGACGTGCGGGATTCGCGTACTTCATAATTCACGCCGTGATATTTGTCTTCCCAATTTTCTTTTTATTTTCTTCAATCCACGAGGAAAGAGCGGACTGCGGAGAGACCGAAATCTCAGACAGGCGAATAACGACAGCTCAGCCACCGCTATAGCAATTTCCCCTCTCTATATTCCATTTTTCAAAATTATATTTCGCCCGAAACAATTTCCCCTCTCTCTATTTCTCCGCCATCTACCAAAATACAATTTCCCTCCCAAAATTGTCCGTACTCCCGCCCCAAAGCCTCACCGGCAGAGCTCTGTTCGACGGAGGGGAAAATGGAAGAAGGACAAGGCGAGGTTGTTGCAACGGAGCAGAGCAAGATGAAGAATAGCAAGCAGCGGAGGAACGTCATTGCTTTCACCGGCGGCGCGGCCGTTCTCGTCCTCGCTGCAAACTTGGCAATCTGCGCCTTCAATTCCCACCGGAAGAGGAAGTCCAATAAGAAAGGTACTACTCTTTCGCTTCTTCAATTGCATTTTTGCTCGAGCTCGAAGCTACGTTCTGCTTCCGTCTTCTTTGTCGAGCTATGACTGTCATTGAGTTTTGAGGTTCAAGAAGAAGTGAGAGAAGTCTCATTTTCGGCTTGTTTAGGTCTTCAAGGCTCCAGCGTTCGGATTAATCTGTCTGCGTCGGAGATTCTCAAATTGGCTGATCGAATCGTCGAGAAGTCGAAGCAAGTTCACGATGCAGTGGCTTCAGTGCCTCTTGACAAGGTATTATTGCTTTGCTGCTCGGTTTCTTGAGTTTCTTCGGTAGTGGTGTGGATTGTTGGAATGAGGCTCGTCTGCTCCATTGTTGACTTATTGCATTGTGAACTGGCTCTATGCAAACACGCAGGTCACGTATGAAAACAGTATCTCGCTGATGGCGGATTTGGAGGCGGAGCAATTTGCTTTGATTCAGTCTTGTCTATTTCCTAAGTTTGTATCTGATTCCGAGGATGTCCGGAAAGCAAGCGTTGAAGCAGAGCGGAGAATCGATGCGCATGTTCTGGCTTGCAGGTGCTATTTATGTGTTCTACTCCTAGTCTAGTAATGCTGATTTCATCTCACATTTCAAAGTTTAGACGTGCTATTGTTGTGCTTCAATAGAGCAGCTTTGGTCTTAAATTGGAGTGAATATGTGGAAGTTCTTTGGGGAAGCTGTCTTATCTTTGCAAGGTTCACGGCTAAGATCAGAATGGAAATATCATAAATGTGGAGTCTATTGAAACCAGCTTGTTACAATCTTCTTTGTTGATGTGGTACCTAAGGCTGACTGGTAGAATGCATTAGTAGCATGCTTTTCTTGTCCAACTTGCCATAGATTTTGCTTCATCTTAAGAAACGAGCTGTTTCTTGAGTTGAGTCTGTAATTGCAATTCCATATAGACATTCTAAGCTTCTTCTATGTTGTGCAATCTATCCAGTAAAAGAGAAGACTTGTACCGAGTAGTTAAAGCTTTTTCGGTGAAGGGAGATTGGACCAACCCGGAAGCTAAACAATACATTAAGTGCCTGGTAAGGAAAGTTACATATTTGGACTGGCTTTGTTACTTAATATCTTAAGTTAAAGGTTTGTATTTGGATGGCGTATATCTCTATTGATGAAACTTCGAATTGGAAACTTGTAGTTTCTGCAATGAATCAGTAACAATAGGGTCCTTGTTTTATGGAAGACTGAAACCATTGTTTGGTAATTATCTGGGTTCTGAAGTTTCCAATGAATATGCTGGCCTTTTAGATTTCATATTCGGTGTTTTCTAAAGATATCTCATATGTCAATTAGTTATTCAATTCAGGTTGTTGATTATTTTCTTAACCAGTGACAGGTTAGAGAATTTGAGCGCAATGGTTTGAATCTCACAGTCAGCAAAAGAGATGAAGTCCAGCGGCTGAGAGCTAAAATAGATGAACTAAGCTTGCGGTATATACGAAATCTACATGATGATGAGACATATCTTCTTTTCAGCGAGACGGAACTAGAAGGATTGCCGTCTGAGTACTGTAAGGCAAGTTCTTAATCTATCTTCATGTTCCTTTCTTTGTCCCCTAGATTCTTCTTTTGCTGAAATATTTTCCCCTATGGTTTAAGCAAGTGACTGTACAGAAACTGGAGCATTAACAGCTCTCTTAGTCTTACTTTCCTGAGGTTTATTGCTCCAGTTTCTTACATGACAGACGCATAAAGTGCGACTTTCTCTACACTTGTCTGTATGAATTTGAAATTTGACATATCCACTATTGTTTTGCATCATTTGATGTTCCATTGCAGAGCTTAGAAAAGGACGTGGGTGGAAAATATAAGATTTATATGAGAAGCAATCATATTGTTGCAGTGCTGGAACTTTGCAAGGTATGCTCCTCTGATGCCACATATTTTCTTAGATGTTAGCTTCCTTGTTTGTTAAAAAAGCAAAAACGGAAAGGAGTTTCCTTGTCAACTTTCAAATATCAGGAAGTTGGCTTGGGCTTTGGCTACTGAAGCAAGTACACAGTGCTGTTTCCAGATCAGGGAAAACCTGATTCAAAGTTCGAATAGTTCGTTCAGTTAATAGAACATGACTTTAGTTTTGCTATATTTTAAGCTCTGATCATTCTATAACTAAGTTCTGATTGTATACCTGACTCTGTATAAAAGATGGATAGGGTTATGCTCATCTTTCTAAATATTTGCAGGTAGGACAAACAAGGAAGAGAGTTGCGGTGGCGTATGGGAAGAGGTGTGGGCAGGTCAATTTTTCTGTGTTGGAAAGTTTGGTAGGTACTTGGACATTTTCCCTTCAAAGCTATTGACTCTTGTATAATTTGAAGTTAAGTCTCCATAGTTTCCTATGATGATATGGTCAAATTTTATTACATTGTCCCTAACAGCAATGCATTTATTGAAACTTGTTTGGGTTCCATTTTAAATGGGAAGTAGCTAACATTACCTGCATGGTATCTGTTAACTATAGTCTATTACTTTCCCTTTCATCATATATAAACAAAGAAAGTACATACAGAATAAAGTGGCATTAAGGTTTAAGAGGCATGGAGGAATGGACTAAAGGCAATCGTAAGGAACATAGTAAAACATTCCAAGTTGGTGGCATGGATTAAAGGCAATCGTAATTTGACAGAGGTTCTTGGAACTCAACAAGGAAATACATCCTTTTGTTTTTTTATTGGAGGACAATGCAGCTTTGATTTGTTCATTACTCTTTTTTATTTTGTGGTGGAAATCACTCTTAAATTGCTACCTACTGATGGTACTTCAAAATGATATGAGGAACTATGCGAAGCAGGTTATTATTTCTTAATGTAATTATGATGAAGAGAATATCTGCTTTTGTGTTTCAGGTTGAACAGCGGCACAAATATGCTCGCTTACTTGGCTACTTGAACTTTGCAGAATTTGCTCTTGATCTTAGGATGGCAAAGACATCCGCAAAGGTCTGCATAGATTGTTTTATACACTTCTGTTGACATTTACCAATGGGTAAAAGTTGGGGTATAAGTGAGATTATTTGTTATAACCTATCTTTCGGTTTTAAAAAATGGCTTGTGAACATTTGCTTTGTCATTTAGAAAACCTCGTCTAAAAAAACCTGTCTTTCAGTTTATTAACTGATGTTTTTCATTCAGTTTTATAGCTGGTGTTTTTCATTCATTTGAGATCGTGAGATATCTTTCACAAGTATAGGGCATGCTGGTCATTTTATGATACCTGGATTCTGTGGCTTGCTTGTATACCAATATTTTTAGATGAAAGATCTTATCCTTTCTAAATATGTTATTTATGTTACTGGCGAGTGCTTAAATTACTATTCCTCCTGTCCGTAAGCACTTCACTTGATGCTTGCTCACTCCTTTTGTTTCAGGTATTTGATTTCTTGGAAGATATCTCTGGCAGTTTGACACATTTGGCAACTAGGGAACTCTCCATTCTGAAGGACATAAAGGTGAGCAGTGTACGCCCAATTTTGTCTGTATGCTTATCTTCTACTTAATTTTGATTTCGTTATATTTTTGTCGTTTGCACCATATTGACGGACCAGAAGAATGAGGACGGAGATCTCCCATTTGGAATTGAGGATCTATTGTATTATATCAAGAGGTCCGAGGCAAAGCACTTTGACCTAGACTTCAAAGCTCTAAAACAGTTCTTTCCTGTGGATTTGGTACTATCTGGCATCTTCAAAGTAATCCAAGATCTCTTTGGTACCCATATTCGCAAGCAAAACTTGATCTATTTGTTTTTGTCAAGCCTATGTATGATGTCCAGCCAAATAAGTTAATTTGCCTAAAACAGCTACAATTTCTTGACTGTATACAGGATTAAGATTTGAGGAAATTGGGAATGTTGAGGTTTGGCATCCAGATGTTAGTGTCTTTTCAGCCTTTGACTTGACTTCTGGGGAATTACTGGGGCATTTGTATCTTGATCTGTACACAAGGTTTGCTTTTCCGTTTTAATATATTACAATGGCCATTTGACTTTTTGCAAGTGTTCTTGAAGCATCACTGAATGGTTTTTGCATACAGGGAAGGAAAATATGGTCATACATGTGTTTTGGCGCTTCAAAATAGTGCATTATCACAGGATGGGACTCGACAGGTAACTTATAAGTCTGTAACCCTAACTCTCAAAATTTGTATTAGGAGCTCGTCTGATTATTCTGATTCCGTACTGTGCTTAGAAGTCTGTTTTTGTCTCCAGATAGCTGTGGCATTACTCATATCTCGTTTGCAGAAGGGAAAAGAAGGGAATCCTTGTTTGTTGAGGTTTTCCGAAGTAGTTAGTCTCTTCCATGAATTCGGGCACGTGGTATGTTCTCTACATCAAGTCAAGTCATATAGGTTGAAACAATTCAGATGAGTTTGACATGGTTGGCTTATGGTTGTACGTAGGTCCAAAATATCTGCAACCGCGCATCATATACCAGGTTCTCTGGTATGCGTGTTGATCCTGATTTTGTCGAGATCCCTGCTCTGTTGATGGAGAACTGGTAATGATTTCAAATGGCTGTTCAATTTTGTCTTGATTTGTGAGATGATAATTGTATGTACCTCAAATTATTTGCTTATGTTTTAGGTGCTATGAGAGCTCCATATTGAAGTTGATATCTGGGTTCCATCAGGTAAATCCAATCTTTTATTTATCTAATCTTGCATATGCAATGGTCTAATCATGCCGTGTTGAAAGACAATTACTATATTCTTAGATGCTCTTGTTATATGTTAACATAGTTTTATGGCTTGATGTTACTTCTGTAGGATATCACAATGCCGATCAAGGATGAAACTTGCAAGTCCCTAAAAAGATGGCGGTACTCATTTTCTTCTCTTAAATTGAAGCAGGAGATTCTTTATTGTAAGTCCTAATATCTACCCGTATCAATCTGTTTTGGTTTGTTTGTCTTTCTCTGATGCCCCCATGCTATTTCTCGATGCTAATATCTGGTTTTTATGCTTAACATGAATCGAAACTTGCATCTCAGGTCTTTTTGATCAAATCGTACATTCTGCTGATAATGTGGACATTGTCGAGTTATACAAGCATCTTCATCTAAAGGTAAATGGACTACCTGCTGCTGGAAGTTATTTCACATGCAATGATAGTAATACAAGAGCAATAACGTTCAATCTGGACTGTGACGCACAATCCCTCATCCAAACGAGCTATAACTTCTTTTCTTCTCCTTGCAGGTCATGTTAGGGCTGCCAATGTTGGAAGGAACCAACCCAGCTTCGTGTTTCCCTCGTAGTGCCATAGGTTATGAAGCAGCGTGCTACAGTCGAATATGGAGCGAGGTCTAACTCAAGTCTCTCCAACATAACCTGATAAAGAAGTCCAGAAATTTCTTCAACTTCCTTCCCTCCACTTCATCTAATCACACTTCCTTCCCAGGTGTTTGCAGCTGATATCTTCGCGTCCAAGTTTCGTGGCAATCTCTTGAACCACCAAGTCGGCATTCAGTTCCGGAACCAGGTCTGGTGTTTCCCGAAATCCCTTCTCTCCACTTAGCTTCTCGCCTTTGCACGTTGCCAGGTTAGTTGAGTCTATTTCTTTCTGCCATTTTTCCAGGTATTAGCCCCTGGAGGAGCGAAAGAGCCCATCGAACTCTTAACCGAGTTTCTCGGCAGAGAACCCTCCGTTCAAGCCTTCATAGACAGCCAATCTCAACACTAAACGGGGGGAAAAAATCGCGAGAAAAGTGAACGTTTTCCGGTTGACTAATTCAGTCTTCTCAATCGTACGTTCTTTTAACCCCACTTTCGTAGTTCGTCCGTTGGGTTGGCGGGTTCCATGTTCTATCATCATTGTTCAGTTTCTTTTACCCTTCACAAACACGCTAGGTATCAAAGGCGGAAAAGAAGAAGAAAAACAAAACGGAAAATGAAGAATCATTTTTTTCCTTTTGTGGGGTCAGAAGAACATGTTCTTTATTCTTCTTCCTGTAATCCTGTTGTTGCTTTAATTCAGCTTCTCTTTCCTTCTGTTCTCAGTGTTTAGCTCGCTTATAAACTTATGTCTCAAAGGTAGAGTGCTTTAGCTGGCGAAATCTCATTCATTTTCTATCCATCGATTGAGAACGCGTAAGAGTGTCTTTGCACTGGGGATGATCAAGAACGCTTTCATTACACGATAGTCTTCCGTCTTCTAAATGTTATTGTCCATTGTAATTCATAGAAGTTAGCGTTGTGATAATTCAATCAACACTGCGAAGTTTCCAGAAACACCTCTCCTCCTAATCCTATTTTGTTCACATTTTCGACGAATTAACAAAAAAAAAAACGTGTCACCATGTTGATCAGTTTAGACGACGTACTTACAAGTTTCAACAACCTAATTATATGTCGTTTATTGGGCTGTTTTGTGAATAGACAGACTATGAATGTTATTAAAAGTCGGAAAGATTCTGCCGAATAATGCAAAACGAGTGAGGTCAGATCAAGACAAAAACACAATGTTAATGTATGATTAAGCTTTGAAAAATAAGATATATAGATAGATGAGAATACTGATGATGTTTCCATTTCCCTTTAATTAAGTTAACATCATGCAAACGTGGCCAATAATGCATTACATGGGACTGATTTTCCTGTGTGGGGACTTCATATGGCTGGCTTTTTATTATATATATTAGTATTTGTTAGGATGAATTGAAAAATTGAAAAAGTAAGAGACATACAAATTTATTTAGTTACTAACACAATGTGTATTAACTAGTCAACAAATAGAAAAGAGTCGGTTTAACTATATTTGAAGATATCCATAATCTCTTTTCCGAACGACCTAATGTATTAAATCGTGTATAAGCCAATATACCGTGACTTCCAATCAAAGTCAGAATTTTTTTCAAGTTATAACATCAATATTATTAGTATATAGATAGAGAGTGTGCTGCCATGTTGGTATCGGTCTCCATTTTTGACTTGGAAGGATCGGAGAATGAGTCTAGGAAGAGCCCGTCAATGAAGAAAAGTTTGATGGGCTAGCATAGAAGCAGCGTTGATTGGACTATGGAAATTGAGGTGGGAAAATTAGGAACATGGCGAGGAAACAGACTTTATTAATCTCAAGTACAAAGTACATTTACAATGTCTAGTTTTTTTTAATTAATTAATTAATTAATTTCCTTACGGAATTAGAAAGATTGAGAATTACAGCATTGCATGATTCACTGGCGTCAGTCAACGGCCGGATGGGCTTGCTTAAACACTGATGGGTTTGTAAACCATGCTCCACCAAGCACGACGGCGGGAGGTATTGTTCGAGGAGATGATGGACGCTTTCTTAGAGCGTACACAGTGAACCTTGCGGGAGGATCTGTCACCCCATGCAGAATTAGCAGCCATAATGCACGGTCTTAAGATCACTTGGGATCTCGGGATTAGGAAGATTGTTATTCAAACTGACTCGAAGACAACGATCAGTCTCATCCAGTCAGCATCACCATCAAATCCGCATGCATTTCTCATTGCGGAAATCAATCGACTTCTGGCCCTGCAGTGGCAGGTCCGCCTTGAGCATACTTATCGGGAAGGAAACTTTGTCGCCGACTTCCTTGCGTCTTTGGGTCACTCTCTAGCTGTTAGGGAACATGTGTTTACGTCCCTTTTTCCTTTGCTGAACTTTTGGTTGTACTATGATCTTATTGGGGTCTCGATCCCTCGAGTGGTTTAATCTTACAGATTGGAGCGCCCTTTAGCGCTCTGTTTCCGACAAAAAAAAAATTTGAGAATTCAATTATCATGGTAAAATTGACATTTTTATGTATGAATCAAATAAGATTAAGGAATTTTAATAATGACATGTGCAAGTCGATAATGATAAATGAATACCTTAACTGTCTATAATGTGCAATCTTATAGTTGATTGGTGGTCTTGGTGAACAAACTAGTGAATGAGCGAGACAAACATCTCAATTAGTAGAGTAGAGGGCATTTCACGGATTGTGCATGACAAGACAATAATAGATGAAACTCTTGTGCTCAGTCTGCTGGGTAAGTTGCGGTGTCATAGACTAGTTTGAGAACTAAGACCGCATGGGTTCCCAAGGATCCAAGGCCTTAATGAAATTATCATCGTTGCAAATGACAAGCTCATGCCTCATGGTTTGTGAAACCATATCAGAGATCATGTCGAACTTAGTGGAATGATAGTATAATCGTGTTTCAATGAATAGCATATCGGTTAACGTCGTCATTAATACTAGCGCAGGGCCCGGCCCGTTGGGCGGGTAAACTAAACATAAGCGGTGCATTTGACAAACGTTGGAACATGAAATCAAATGAAAATGAATTCATTTTTTGGTCAATTTAAGTTACAAATTGTTCAGTTAAAATGTTTATACGAATATATGAAATTTAATAAGTGGGCTGTAATATTTGGCACATAATAATAAGCATCACATTGGTAAAAACAGTGGCGGAGTCAGAGTTTGAAAACACCTGTGTCCTCTTTCCATAATATAAATATATAATAAATAAATAATTATTTAATAAATAAAATTAAAACTAATAATATCAAAATAATTCATTGATAGATATTAATGAAATACTAGACTAACACAATCATTATTTTCATGAGCACTTACAACACGTTTGAATGTATCTGACTAAGCAACCATTATCAAATTGGTCGTAATTCAACTTTGAAACTTGTTTTTGATATAACTCAAAGCTGAAAATGTTCTTTTTACACTTGCAGTTGCAACGAGTAGACTCAAAACTAACTACATAAAACATAGAGATCGATTTTTCAGTATTGTGAATTTTGTTTATAGTGTGATCAATTAGTTTATATTAGCTTTTAAACTTGAAATAACCTGTAGTGTAGTGATAATTCACTTTTATATTACCTAAAGGTGATGAGTGCAATCCTTAATTGATACATATATATGGGTACTTTATTTTACCCAAAAGTTGGCTGTGTCCCAGGACACATCCAATTGGCCCTGGCTCCGCCTATGGGTAAAAACCACAGGAGATAGATGGAGCAGCCAAGTAATAATCTATTCGGGGAAAGAGTTCAACATTCATAATTGGAACAACTATACAGAAATTATCTTTGAATTAAAGCACTGTTCAAGTACGTCACCCCCTCTACCAGAATAATTTGCGAAGAACCAAATCAAACTCATTGGTCTGGCCGTTGAAATCTCCAAATTCAATCATAAACTTCAATATATTCCCCCTGAGAGCAGCTAGGAGAGTCCTGAAGTCATTGCTCCATTCCTTGTCTGTAGCCTCAATGATACGGCTCGCTATCCACCGGAACTTGGTAGTCATAAACATGATAGAAGCCTCATGAGGACCAGTAGCAACAGTCAGCCTCACCATAAACTTGAGATGCACACTTGACCAAGAAACAGTAACATCCTTGACTGTTGCAGTAGTAAGGTACAAATTCCCCTGCAATATGAACCACATGAAAGCTTACATTTGGGAATGGTAAGAGGATAATTGATATTTTAGTGGTCAAGTTAGAGCATTAGAGACGCAGTTACATCCAACCATGGTGTCCAGACCAACAATTATGATATTCAATGGGAGCAAAATATGAATGTTGACATTTTTGTAGGAGTTGACCGAGTGTACATATAAACTACCTGGTTGGTGAAATCAGTCTTATATAGATTCAGTTCCGAAATGGAACATATCTCACTTAACCATATAGCATCCTCCAACGTGTAGTCTATGGCCAGCGGGACATTTTCTATACTGTAAATAAAAAAAAAAATAATTCCAAAACATGAGAATAAGAATAATAAAAGAATTGATTCTATTGATCAAAGGTTAAACATTTACTTATCAAGCAGGGGGTGCACGTGAGGATAGTGCAGGTTGCAATATACTTTCGTTGCAGTTGAGCCCACACAATATTCTTCCCCTAAAACCATAACATCTAAAAACTCAATTACCACTAATCTAAACTAAAAGAACAGGTTCGAAAAATAGAATTAAAACCATGTAAGAGACCTGCGAAGTGGCGAACAACAACGGAAGTGAAGACAACTACTATTCCTGGTAAAGGATCATTAGGTGTCACAGCTTGAAATTCGTCAATTAGACCATCCCATAAGACGACATCAACTATAGGTCCCCTAAATTTTTTTTTAAAAAAAGATGCATGAATTGGCTGCACACGGTAAGCACACTTCAAATGTAACCTGTACAAAAAAAAAACAACCAACTGACTCAATCAATCTAAGCTGCACTCCCTTTCGCCGTAAAATAGCAGCATCTTCGAATAGGACCTCTTCTTGTTCAACAGTTTCAACCTCCCCAATTAAATCTGAGCCCAAACATATCGTTAGGCACACAATATGAAAACCAAACCGGCCAAATAAAGCTTTTCTTTGAATTAGAAATACCAGACAAATATTCATGATTATGGACAGCAAAGGGAAGATCATTAGCAGCCAAAAACCGAAAGCTATATGTTGGAATGTCGGCTGCATTCTGGAGTTCCTCAATCGCCGTATCATTATGAAAGCGGATTCGGATAGTTGCAGGAGCAACTCTATACGTATCATCATATTCTTGGACCAAAAAGTTGCTCAAGAAATAGATCCTTCCCACGTGAAGAAGAGGAGCAAACAACTGAACATTAAGAATATCAACCAAGGCCTGCATCTCTGTTCCCTAAAAGTCACGGTAAAAAATCTTTGAGTATTTTTAGAATTGAATAGCGTACTTCCCACTCATGTAACGAATAGAAGGCTTATAAAATCAATGTACCTGGTTGTCGAGAAACAACATGTGGATTTGGTCAAGCGTTACACCATCAGGCCTCATTGTATGCCATAAACGCAGGAGCCTGACGCGAACAGCCTGGTCATTGTCATGGAGGTTCAATTGGGCTAAATTGCGGAGAGCCATCACTGATACGGCACGCTGGAAAAGAGTCAATATTTTGGACAGCAAACCTTTTCACGTGCTGGAAATGTTCTTTATATAGACTTGCAGGGAAGGAAGTTGGTTTAAGCTTGAGAATAGGTGGCATAGTGGAAGAACGTGGTGATCATGGCAGTTAATGACTTATTATTTGTATTTATAATATATTTTAATAGGAAAATGACAGGCCATATTGGCAAGCGAAAGTAGCAATACCTAGTAAGCATCGGCTTAGGAACTATTAACATTTTTTACCCTAAGACTTGTCTGGATTCTGACTAATGGTGTGAATGGTCTAATGCAGGGGTT